CAATAGTGATCTCACTGAGGAGGGCATATTCCACTAACCACTCCACTGATTCCACTACTCATTCCTTTTTTATGGATGATGTTGAGTCCATTATCCACCAGGTTCTCAACAAATCGGGTACTCCTCCTTCTACTGCTCTTTTAGTAACCTCAGGTAACTCTTTATGGTATTTTGATTCCGCATGCTGTAATCATATGACTTCTGACTCTACTATGTTTTCTTCTATATCATTATCCTCTTCTGTCCCCACCACACACACTGCTAATGGTTCTCATCTGACTGTTCGTCACATTGGTCAAATTTCTACTTCCATTATGTCTCTTTCTAATACTTATCACATTCATGCTCTTCAATTGAACCTTATCTCTGTTGGTCAGTTATGTGAATGTCCTATATTCTGAACTGTATTGTGGCATCCTTAGCACCTACTATTTACTGTTACTGTTACAGAGATCTCTGTCGGTTCCCTTGTTGGAACCACTACTGTTACTGACTGATGGCCATCATTTACTGCTCGGTCTTTTAAGACCTACTGTTTACTGTATTGTTATGCTAATGGATGTACCACATATGACTGTACTGACTGAACGACTAAAATACTGATTTAATGAACTGTTTTCATTACTGTAAGGACATTCATTCTTAACCTCTTTACGCATTATGTTATTCACTGGGCTTTAGCTCACTGCTCATATATATATGTAGGTGTTCAGGCACCAGACCGCGGCTAGGAGCGTCAGGGTTACTCCAGTTTTGTCAAGCCAGCCTATGTGCCTCACTGCGAGGTTCCGAGCCTATCATGCTAAGGCTTAGGGATGTTTTAGGACTCCCCCTTCTGTACTGTCTTACTGTTTTGTAATAACTGAATGGATTGTATAGACTGAACGTTTACTGTACTGCTATATAAGGGATGGAGTCCCTAGTCTGAACAATTGTATATATTGTGTATACTGTTCTATACTGATTATGTATATATGTATGAAAAGTCTTTTTGCATACAGACTGTCACAGCTCATTGGACATCGTTTATTTACTGTTTTGGCTTCCGCCAGGCCTTGTACTCTGTTTTACTGTTCGACTGATAAGCAGGCCTTCGGTAATCTCGGATTACTGGTCGGTTACAGTGCTAAACCCATAGGGCCGGGTTTGGGTCGTGACAGAGCATGCTCCATCAATCATCTTTATAGATGAAATCGACAGCATTGGATCTGCTTGAATGGAATCTGGATCTAGTAATGGTGATAGTGAAGTGCAGGGGACGATGTTGGAGCTTCTCAATCAACTGGATGGATTTGAGCATCTAACAAAATCAAAGTACTAATTTCTTGTTTCATTCTCTTAAACTAGCAACATGTATGTGCACCTATGTTAGTTATCTGCTCGTTTACTCTTATGTTGACTCTAAGCAACAAATGAGTTAGCCTTGGTTTATTTAATGTTAAATGCCCTAGAATCCTAGTATCATCATGTTTATTCCTCCTATTTTTATAATTTATTTTTAAAATTTTTAATTTTTTAATACTAGAAATTAGAGATAACATGGATAAAGAAAACTAAATTGTTTTTTAAGGTTGCTGGCTGGATTCATACTCCACTTGTTGCATTGGATATATATATCAAGTGATTAATTCATATTCATGACTCTCAAATTGTTTTTGTATTGAAAAAATGGAAACAGAGATGTCGGGAGTGGTGTCGGTGTTTAGGAATAACAGGTATCATGTTATTACAATTACTGAGTACTTAAGGTTGGGTATTGGGTATTTGGTGTTTAGGAATAACAGTTTTCACTAATCTTATTTGGTTTCGCTTGCGAATAATTGATGTCATTGCACTTTAGTGTGTCATGGTGAAGGACGAGTGCTCTATTTTTTGCTCATCATTCTATTCTTTTGAAGCTTATTCTTTTTTATGCCAATGTTCCTGGTGAAGGGGAGCATAAAATTATGTCGAATATTTGTCTTCAAAGAAACCTTCCTGGTTATGAACCCAACACACGCCATTGCTTGTATGGTTTGGTACGTCTTCTCTATCCTATCTGTGAATCTATTATAAATTTCTTTCTGTTTTGCTGTTCTTAAGTGTTATTGCAATGTTCTTATTGGAATTTTAATATGTTGCCACATAACAGGATGCTGATTTAATCATGTTGGCTTTGGCTACCCATGAAGTCCATTTTGCAATACTCAGGGAGGTTAGTGTATTACGATAAAATAATTCATTTTTTTTGAAGACTCTTGACTAACATTTTTGGTTCAAATTTGCATGATTGTTTAAGTTGGGAAAATGGTTAGGTAGGGAAATGAGAAATAAATGCCATGTTTGGTTTGATTTTCTGAGTCTGTTTTCGCAATTCACTTGTCAGGTCGTATTTACCCTGGACAACAAGATTAGGTCATTTAGCAGCAGACTGCGAAGGTAAGGCAAAGAGAAAGGCTGGGGATTTTGATGAGAAAGGTGACGCTGATGTCGTGCCCAAAAAGCCTTATCAGGTCTGTTTTGATTCCCATTGAAAAGTAATAGGTACGTATTTCTTTTCGTTGGGTTGTTTTAGTTATTGTTTCCTTAAGTTGTTTTCATTTTGTAGTTTCTCAACATTTGGACTCGTAGAGAGTATTTAGAATATGAAATGAGGATTCCTAATCTGCCTTTTAAGTTTGATTTTGAGTGCATTGTTGATGACTTCATCTTCATGTGTTTCTTTGTGGGCAATGATTTTTTACCCCACATGCCCCCACTGGAGATATCTTTAGTTATGCCTGAAATATGTATGGTTATGGCATATTTGAGTATTAATTATGATTTAGTTATTACATATTGTGATAAAATGAGTAATTTATTGGTCTAAAAGTAATTTTTTGGCTCTCTCATTTTCCTTCATTTTCCCACAGTTCCTCTCTCATTTTCTCTCACTTTCTCGCCCCAGCAAATTCCGACGGATGGTCTCCAGCAAGAAAAGGTGAGTAGAACCCTAGTCTGGTTTTATCAGTTACCTATACCATCAATATCCATATCATTAGATATTTTCTTGAATATGCTGAACATGTTCATTTGTCATCAATGTGAAGGATAATTTTCCATTGTTGTTTTGTGGAGAAGAATCTTTATTGTATAACATGATTTTGATATTTTAGGTGTTAAGTATATTTTTTCTTAAAGTTAGATGACAACTGTTACGTTCAGTTTTCTTTTCCTTGTTTATCTGGAACATATGTCTTTCTCACTTATGCTTGGTGTCCAGACACACTCTAAAGTTTAAGGGTGTATGTGATTCTTTGTTCTTTTAGACTTTTAGTTGTGGTCTAATTGCACTGATATGTGGGCATGAATAGAAGTTCATATTCCAATAGAAGTGTCAGAAGTGACATTACCCCAGATTCACTTATCAAAAGAACCAAAACAAACCAAATTCTAGACACTGGACTCCAGCTACATATGTGTTCTTGTTTAGTATGCTTAAAACTTTGTAGCAATTGGAGCAATCATATGGTTTGATGGTAGAAAGGAATTGTGCGCAAAGTGGCCACTTAAACTATTTGTTTAACACCGAATACCCAATACCCAACCTTAAGGAATTGTGCGCAAAGTGGCCCCTTTTTATTTTTCCATTTTCCTTTTCTTTCTCTTGTTTCTATAGTTGTTCAGGTACCTTCCAGGGATTATTGTTCAAATTTGACTTATTATCTTTTATTCTTCCTACTTATTAGGTATTCACTTGTCTAGAAGGAGTATGCTTTTATCAAAGAAAGATACTAAAACCTATCTTTATCAATCAATCTCGCTCATCTCAAGGATGCGGTATCACATCCAATTTGGGCTTTTATACATGCTTCCTTTAACAAGAATTCTACGTAAGTTTGTTTCCAGCATTATGTTAAAAGTTCCATCCTTCCTTGCTTTAGTTTTATTTCTTATCAATTATTTTCATGCATTTTTTGTCTTTATTTTTTCGACAGTCCACTTTTCTGGTTGCGTTGAAATTTTAGACACCATGATCATTCTTTGTCCCCTTAGTAGCAAAAGTGTGCAAAAGAAATTAATCTTAGATCTAAACGTAAGAAATTAAAAGTCAGTGGAAAATGAGAAAAATTATAAATGGCGGACTATGATTTTTATAGGCTTACCCATGTCAAATAATTTCTTTATAATTTATCCTCACATATATATGTGATAAAATAGTTATATTTCAAAAACAAATTTATGACTATTTTGGAAAGTAAGTTAAAAGTCACTTCCCAACTTTTAACTCACTTCTCTCTCTCACAAAAAAATTCAAAAAATTCAAAAAATAATTTTTAACCATCTTCTCAAAATTCCTCTTACTCTGTAAACACAATTTTATTATTAATTAATAATGTTAAGTACAATCGTTAGACCAATCTAAAAATAAATAAAATAATTGGTGATGAAATTCATGCTCGGATCCACATCAGCGTGGAACCCACGCAAACCGAACCTTCCCTCGCATGACTGCATTTTTTGAAAAATAAATACCGAATTGTTCTTTAAAAGTCAAGTCTTTTACTCCAGAATTTTTTATTGTTTATTTCTTCACTGCCATGCGCTAATCTTAGTCAACTCGTAGTATTTTATATATTTACACGTGGACAAATAGAAATAAGAAGTGAGCAATAAAACCAGGAGGTCAGAATTTTCATTATAAATTGTATCATGAAAAAATATATATATGGCCTAGATTGAATTGTTGCCTATTGAATTCTACACGCAAACGAAATTTGTACCACCGTTGGTGATGAAGTCATAAACATATATACTGGGAGGGAGAATTATTTAATATTCCTTAATTATTAATAGAGTATTGTTTACGTAGTCTAATTTAATCCCAAATAAAATTGCATCAATTTTTTATTTTTATTTTTTTGCACTGCTTTATTCAAGTTTCTTTTAATATATATGGAGTGCTATTTATTGTGTCCCAACTATGGGGACATATTACTCTAGCTACTGTATTACTCTCAATTTCAATTAATGGTATTTAGTGTGTTTTAATTATTAATAAACTAAAAAAATATACAAAAAATTTAAAGATTCTTTTTCACTCTCTCTTTTTTTTATGTTTTTTTTTTCACAAAAAGTATTTTCAAATATTTTTTTATTATTTTTACTTTATATCTTAGTTTAAAAAATTATTTAAAAAACCCCTAACCAACCTTGATTGGTGGACACTCCAATAAATTGACAATAATATCTAGACAAGGCTTAGGAATGGCAACGGGGCGGGGCCGGGGACTACTCCCGTCCCGATCACCCTCCCCGTCCCCGATCCCCGATGGCAGAACTTCCCCCCGTCCCCGTCCCCGTCCCCGTCCCCGACGGGGAACCAACTACCACCCCCCTAATAGCTTCATTTTTTTAATTAATTAAAACTGTAGCAACATCCATAAGTCTGTAGCAACATCCATCAGTTGGAATATCATTTTTTTAATTAATTAGATCAATAAATATCAATAAACATCCATTTAAAAAACATCATCTGTAGCAACATCCATAAACAAAGCTATCATCAATAAATCTGTAACAACATCCATAAACAAAGCTATCATCAATAAATCTGTAACAACATCCATAAACAAAGCTATCATCAATAAATCTGTAACAACATCCATAAACAAAGCTATCATCAATAAATCTGTAACAACATCCATAAACAAAGCTATCATCAATAAATCTGTAACAACATCCATAAACAAAGCTATCATCAATAAATCTGTAACAACATCCATCCTAATCAATAAATATCAATAAACATCTTGTAGCAAAACATTAATAAACATTAATTCAGTAGCCCATACATACACAACCCACACACAAAGCATCCTGTAGCAACAAAATAACATAACCAAAACATGAACAAAATAACACAACCAAAACATGTGTCCAGCAGCACACAAGAAAATTCAACAAGTAGCAAATAAAATAATTAATCCCAAGCACAACCCGCAAGGGATAGGTTACCCAAAAATTGAAATTAAAAATAAAAATAAAAATATCCATTACAACAAAAAAAACAAATCCATTGTTTCTTCAAACTCATACAAACCACACAACTTCCATCATTTCCTTCAACTTGAACTCATGTTAAATAACAAAAGGAAAAAAAATAAATAATTAACACTAATAATAAAATGTAAAAAATGTTAATTACAACAAAAAAGATGACAACTAACACAAAAGTGGCACATGACTGATCCGACTCGATCTCATCATCATCATATATAGTTGCATAGCCCACCGATTCCAATGTTGAATTTCCTAAAAAGTAAAGAATATAAATTCAATAGTGAAATTATTCCATGGTAATATAAATAATAAAAAGTGAAATAATAATATGTAAACTGGATGAAATAATACCTTTCATCTCTTCACCCCACAACCAACTTTGTGCACACATTAATGCTTCTAATGTGTTTGGATGAAGTCTACTACGATGTGGACTCACCAACCTTCCACTAGCACTAAATGCTGACTCAGAAGCAACAGTGGATACAGGAATAGCTAAAATGTCCCTAACTATTGCCTGTAAAGTCGGATACTTCGGTCCACTAGCTTTCCACCAATTCAAAACATCAAAACCTGAAGTTCTCGGCAAAACATCATCTTCTAAATAATGGTCCAACTCTGATCTTACATTCTTCATTTTTTAACTTCTCTTTCTACTAATAAACAAATCAAATTCAGAAAGGGTCTCTGTAACAATTTCTGGATGAGCAGAAGAGTCACCAACAACAACATCAGTCTCCATACCAACTCGGTGCTGATACTCTTGCAACAAATCATAACAAATATGACGAACCCTATCAACTTCATCTTCAGCTTTGTCTCCATAAAGTTTTTCAAAATAAAACTCCAATACACTCATCTTATACCTAGGATCAAGTACAACTGCAACCCCAATAACACCATGTATCACTAACCAATATTTATCAAATTTTTCCACCATTTTTGATGCCATTGTTCTGATCACTTCAATTCACAAGAGAGCCATTGAGACAGTGTCATCCTAATCTCACATAAAGCTGGGAAACAAACATTGGCTGTGGGATACTTTGTACCAGAAAACAACTCAGTGATAGAAAAAAAAATCTTAAACCTCCCACTAATCTCTCTAGCAAACTCCCATTCTTGCTCAGTTGGCACAGTCTTATATTGTGGCTCTCTAATTTTTAACCTAGAAAAGACATCCTTATACAATAAGGCTGTCTGAAGTATCAAGTAGGTCGAATTCCACCTAGTTGCACAATCAAGTCCTAATTTCTTAGTATGTAGAATACGCAATTGGTTGACTGTTTCTTTAAATTTTTCTACTCTTTTTGGTGTTGCTGTCCAATAAGCTACACTCTCTCAAATTTTCTCCACACCAACTCGTATGACATCTAATCCATCTTTCACTATCAAATTTAAAATATGCGCACAGCAACGCATATGAAACAAAGTACCACCCAACAAAAGAGATGAATTACTTAACTTATCCATCAACATGGTAATCATGGCATCATTTGTGGAGCAATTATCAACAGTAACAGTCGAGATTTTTCTATCAATATTCCAATCCATCAAACACTCAAGCAAAGTATCACAAAGAACTTCTGTTGTGTGTGGACATGGAACATAAATAAACCTAAAATATGATGTTCATAAACAAGTATTAATATGCAAATTGAACTGAATAAGATAGAATTTTTAAATGATTTGCAAATTTACAAAAATATACCTCAAAATGCGACTTTGCAATGTCCATGAATCATCAATAAAGTGTGCGGTGACAGCCATGAATCCTTTCTTTTGATTGCTAGCAGTCCACATATCAGTTGTGATTGCCACCCTACT